GAGTTTCACTCTTGTTGCCCAGGCTGTAGTGCAAAGGTGTGATCTCGGTTCACTGCAACCTCTGCCTCCTAGATTCAAGCCATTCTCCTACCTCAGCCTCCTGAGTAGCTGGGATTACAGACACCCGCCACCACACCCTGCTAATTTTTGTATTTTTATTAGGGATGGGATTTCACCATGTTGGCCAGGCTGGTCTTGAACTCCTGACCTCAGGTGATCTGCCTGCCTCAGCCTCCCAAAGTGATGGGATTACAGGCATGAGCCACCCCGCCTGGCCAAGAAACTATTTTAGGCAGATAAAGAGGAAGAGGGGTCCTTGGAAAGTTTTTGTTTCTTTTAAAGCAGCTCCAGATATATTTCTTGTCTAGAAGGAAAGCCCCTGCCCTTAGAGCCAGGCGGGCAACATTTGATATACAAATACAGGCCACTAGAAACTGGTTCCACCCAACATGGTGATTCCCATCCTTGTCCTTTTGCCCTTACTTCCACAGGTGCCTGGCAACATGACCCCACATAACCCCATGTGCATAGAACATCATGGTGCCCTGCATTTGCATATTAAAAGGCTAGAGTAGGAAGGCCAGTTTTTTCACGGGCTGGGTGAATGGCATGTCTAGTGAAACAAATCTGCTAAGCCCTATGCAAATCAGGCACCACATCCTCCAGCCTCTACATATACCTGGCTGGTTTCTGCCCCACTTGGGTTCTCCTCTCTCGGCTCTGGAGTTGCCCTCCTTCCATCTCTGTACAGGGGAGCTTTTTCCTTCTTTCTTCTCCCTCCTTTCTTGCCTATTAAACTCTGCACTCCTTGAAACCACTCCACGTGTGTCCCCATCATTTTATCCAACTCGATGCGAGGCGAAGGACCTGGTGTTCCTCCACACATCAGAGCCTTATCAGAAGGGGCTGGACACCAATTGCTCTCTGAAGCTATTCCTAGCCTTAACATTCTTTGTTTTGTTTGCTTTTTTAGTTCGCCTAAGTGTGTAAATTTTATGACGCTTAAATAACATTTTCTCTTACCATTACAATGAGAAAGGAATAAAATACCTTATTTTCCAAATCTACTTAGAGAATATCGTTTGTAACATACTCATGTTTTAAAAGCCTTCAAAAGCCAAGAGGAAACAAAGTACTATCCATTCCTTCTGAGAAATGCACTTCTGTCTGTACCTGAGTGTTTTCACAAATCCCTGTGTTGGTGTGTAATGCCATGAAATGCTCTTGATGGTAACAGGAAAGAGACTCAGACACAGCTAAACATAAAGGTCAGTTGGCTGCAGGTGCTTAGGAGGCACAAATAGAGGCCCATTCATGCTGCTACACCTGCTCCTGAAAAGCATACCATAAGTACATTATGCTAATTAGGAGGCAAAGAACCATCTAACATCAAATTTTAAAAGAGTTGGCCACAGTTCAATGACATCCTCGCACACCAGCCTCCACCCACACTGGCCTTCATAAGGCCCTTAAAGGAGATCACACAGTTCTAAACCTGGTCCACAAACACACATATCCTCCATTCTCTCCTTTTCTCCTCTTTGGCAGTTTGACAAAATCGTTAGGGGCAGTTGGAGGAAACATTAATGTTTAATCTCCTGCTTCATTCAAAGCCTTGACTTTAATTTTTACCCCTGTTAAGGCCTCAGGAAGTTCATTGTCCACACCCTCCATTTGAACTCAGTCACTAAAATGATCTCAAGGCTAAGGGACAGACCACAGGTCCACTTCACAAGTAAGCCTGCAACACCTGATTTAGGAAAGTTTGTTGTGCAGACAGTTGTAGCTCATCCCTTTTACAGAGAGATCTGGATTTGTTTCTTAGGGTCTAAAATTATTTAAATCAAAATCTCTAAGAACTTTCTGGGCATTTAGTAAATTCATGCCGGGGAAAACTGGCAGAGACATGTTAAATGCACTTGACCACAAGAACCATTTACTTCATCCAATATTTACCAGCTATTCATTGTGCACCTACTACAGATTTTGGCATTGTAGATGTAAGAAAACTCTATCCCTGACTCATGAAACTTATCCAAAAAGTAGGGAAGCAGTCTCAGAACCATTCAAATGAAGCCTCAGTTGATTAAAATAAAAATGTTTTAAATATTTAATGTGGAAGTTTTCCAGTATGTTAATAATGGCTTGATTAACCCCAGGGATACAAATTTTACTGATTAGAAGAAAGTTTCAATAAAATACCAATCTTTGAATCTAATCTGACACCTGAAACTAGGAGATCAAATACGATTTTTCCCTCTATAGTTTATAATAAAACTTCTCATGAGAAAAAAAGACATCTTTCTTCAAAGCCTGAAAATAGATGGAGAATTTTTAATATTTATTATTGTAAAGAACAATAAATAAACTATGCACTTGCACAAATGAGTGCCAGAACTGAGCCACAGAATATGTCTGTCATATCACTCTTTCACACCATACATTAACAGAAGTAATAATTTACCCTCATTGGGTTTCCTATTTACCATCTCTTCAATTATACTTCTTTTAATTGCAGTCATGGAGTGTCTGAATTTTATAATCCAAGATACTAAAATGTTCATTTGACATACCACCACACTTAATGTCTTATAATCTCTGCCAAGAATTTTAAAATTTTTGTTGGTCTGACAGGAAGAGAAAATTCCATGGTTTGGTGAATCCAGAGAGTCTTCAGTACATCTCGGTTATAGAACTGTGTTAAATACATTTAAACTCTATAATCCTATAAGACCCATTTTAGGTGCATACACTGAGCATCCAGTTCTTCATCGTCCTCTCTCTCATGTTAACCCTGGGTAACACAAGTTCTACTCCCATAATTCTATGACCAAAACAACCCTTGATACATAGGTTTGATTTTTTAAATAAATTTACTTTACCTTATTCTAAGTGTAACATAAGGTCAACATAGAAAGCAGAAAACTGAAAAGCACAAGGAAAGTGAAATATCTATAATCTTTTCAACCATTGTTAATTTTGCTGTATTCCTAGCTGCTTTATATATATATATATCAATATGGTACATTTTTTTAATAAAAGAAATGCCAATAAGGCACATGCCAATTTGGACTCTGCTTTTTCCACTGACAATTATATCATAGTTTCTCGTATTTGGTATTCTTTTACAACAGTCACTGCATAGAATTCCATCACACCAAGGTAACTACCAGAAATTCCTTATTACTTTTGCTAGACACTTAGGGTTTACATTTTTTCCAAAATTATAAATCTTTGATCAAAGCTCTGATGATTTCTCTGGGAACTGACAGCCTAACAGAAGTCATGTCCACTTTAAGACTTTTAACTTACTGAAAAGTTATGTTAAAACCAGAGTGCTGGTCCCCCTGCAACACGTTCACTCACATTGGCTGACGTTTTAATTCTCTGCCAATCTGAGAGGAAGAAATGTCAACTCTTTTTGTTTAATCTTTTAATGCCAGTCACGTCCCTTTTTTCCCTTTTTCCCAGTCACACTAGTTTACTCACAACGCTACAAATCAATCCTGCTCATTTTTAATTTTTCAGCATTGTTCCTGAGACTGTTTCACAAAAAAGAAAAGTTCTCCCCCTTATCCGCTTCACCTAACAATTTCTACCCATCCCAATCCTCCTGCATTTATTGCTTCCAGGAATTTGGCACTTAGGACACCGTTGTCCTTACATTGTTCATGCATGTGTATTTCGTCTTCAATAGAACATTTAGTCGCTCAAGGTCAAGAGCCCCATAGAGTCCCAATTTGCTACGTGCCTGATGTCCCTTAATAATTTAGATTCCAACGGGGGACCTCTCCAGGGAGGAGAGCAAAGAGCAAATTACCTTAGGGGCTGGGAGTGCAGGAGCCAAACCTTTGAGACTGTGAAAACAAGACGGCCCTGAGACGATTCAGCAGCAGGCATTCAAGCAAGAAAAACTCAAATATTGTTCCTAATAATGTCTAACGGCAAATACCGAGTAACGCTCCAGGCAGTCCGGACAGCCTGCAGTGCCCCAGGATGAAATTAACCCTGAGGGGTGCTGGCCCACAGTGACGCCCGCCCTGGCCTCTGGATCTCTATTTTTAGGTCGAAGGGCTTTATTCTTGAGTCCCGAGTTCCTGGAAACAGTACTAGGGCAGCTTAGTTTTCTTTCCACCCTTCCTGGGTCACAAACTAGGCGGTGATCCAGCCCTTTCTCGCAGACCGCCTCAGGTTTCCAGGACAGCGGGCTCAGGGTTTAGCAAGAAAAGAGGCGGGTCCCGGTGAGCCTACAGGTTTACTCCCCGCCATGGCCAAGCCCTATCTCCAGGAGGCCAACGGGCCGCCCGGGAGCGCCAAGGTCCCGCCCAGCGGTCCGCCGATTGGCCCCACCGCCCCCGTGCCTCTACTCACTTCCGCCTCGGGCGCAGCTCAGGCCACGCCCACCCGCTGTGCGGCTGTGGGCACTTTGTGAGTTTGGGGATTGTTGCGTCCGGTAAGCGGACTTCCCTGCTCAGCTGGCTCCCGGTTTCTCTGCTCACCTCCGGATAAATTACGGCGACTTCGGCGACGCGCATGGCGCCTCCCAGCCGCTGCGAGTGTCCCTCTCCTTCCCGGCGTTTTCCTGGGTTGCTTCTGGCGGCCCTGGCGTTGCTGCTGTCCTCTCGCTCTGGTAGGATCGCGGGGCGGGTTCGCGCGTCAGCTGTGAAGCCAGAACTCTGCTGGATCAGCTGGGCTGGAGGCGCGGGGCGGGGCTGACCGTAGGTCCTGCCTGCTTGGGGTAGAGGGAGAGACCAGGGCTCTCCGAGGGGCGCAGTGCGCAGATCCCTGGGGTGTGTGGCGGGGGATGCGGGGACCACTTAGAGCCCGAGGTGAAGCTTGTTTGCTGGAGTGATGTGCGCAGCCCGGATTTACGGAGGGTCTGGCTGCACCCCCAACAAAAGCGTGCACCTTGTTTTCGGGATTGAGTCCAGTCGGCAAGGGGAGCGCGGACTGGGTGCCCCGGGTAAGGGCTTGCTTTGGAGTGCACGGGTGCGTGGGAGTGTTGCCAGGGCCCGTGCTGTGCCGGCGGTGAGAGTTTAACCTGTGTTCCCTGGGCGGGGCAGTTGGCGCCTTGATGAGCGGGGTGTTCCTTAGCGCTTTGGCGGTATCCGCGAAAAGTGCTGCAGTGCGTCCGTCCGCTGTGCCCCATGGGCTGGGCTGGCATGGGCTGTGCTGGGCGACCAGGGACCTGGCCTGGTGTTGTTGACAGCGTGCTGTGTGCAAGTGGCCTGCCCTGCAGAGTTCACGGTGGGCAAGACCCCTCACTGTTTGCTTTGAATGGAGTGACCGTGGACTCTGGGGCTAGGGGGGCATGTTGGGTGAGAGCAGGCTCTCAGTGCCTGGGGTTACAGAGGGTGGTAAGGGCGCGCCATGCGTTTTGTGCCTTCTGTGAACAGTCTCCGTGTTGCCTGAGATCCTATTGGTCTTGATTTTTAACTAGCTGCTTTTTTGGGGCTTGGGTGGGTCATGGAGTCATATTCCTGTTCCCAACCAATATATTCACTATCTGATTCCATTACCTAATGGCTTTTTGACATCATTTTCCTTCTTTTCATTAGTTTGAGTCATATTTGAGAGATGTGAAGAAACCTAAAAAACACTGGTAACCAAACCTATTGAGAAATTAGTATCCTAACAAAGGAAAGGAAATTATGTTAGTCTGGTTTCCCCTACAGCTCAGAAACTAAAGCTGAAGCCCATCCCACTAAATTTGTTTTGTATTTCATTGAATGGAATAATACTATTAAAAATGCATACTAGGCCAGGCGCAGTGGCTCATGCCTGTGATCCCAGCACTTTGGGAGGCCCAAGTGGGGTAATTGCTTGAGCCCAGGAGTTGGGCAAGCAAAACCCCATGTCCACAAAAAATGCAAAAATAGATGGGCATGGTGGTGTATGCCTGTGGTCCCAGCTATTCTGGAGGCTGAGGTGAGAGAATCACTTGAGCTTAGGAGGTGAAGACTGCAATGAGCCGTGATCATGCGCTGCGCTCCAGCCTGGGTGACAGAGTGAGACCCTATCTAGAAAAAAAAAAAAAAAAAAAAGCTAAGAAATATATACTTATTGAACAAAACGAACAGAATCAAAGGACAACTATATTTAATATTTTGGACTATTTCCTTCTGACTTTATATGCACTTCAGGTGTATGTATGTCCAAAATTATATTTAGGATCCTCTTACGTGTACAGTTTGTACGTTGCATTTCTTTCCTTAGGAACATTCATTCAACGAATATCGGTCTTGAATGTCTGGTGCTATAACACTTGTAGGCAATCACAAACCGTTCCTATTTTCTTGATCCTTTTTTCACTATTTGTTTACACACATGTACATGCAGGAAGATAAGCAGGGACTTTGTTTTGCTCGCTGTTACAAGCTCAGTACTGGGAACACGGTAAACAATAAATATTTACTAAAATGTATTGGGAGTGGCAGACATTAACTAAACGTAATAGTAACAAATATTTTATGAACCAAGGGAAGTGCTTTGGAGAAAAGGAGCATAATTTTCTGACAGCATTTAACAAATGGACTGGAGGCAGGGAAGGCTTTTCTGCTCATCAAACAGACAAAACTCTGCCTCTTTGGGACATCTGTGCTTGCTGTTCTCAACCCTGGAACATTCTCCTCCTGAACTGCTGCATAAACGGGCTCTTTTCTTCTGCAAACTCAGCTGGTATGTTACCCTCGCAGAGACCTTCTTTGACCCCTCATCTCAGGTTGAACACATACAACCCAGTTCAAGTCCCTCTTCACTTGTAATCACCCTTTTAAAATGACCTTTTCTATTCTTTGTCTCTCCCCATCAGAATGCAGGGATCTTCTCTGTCTTGTCACATTTGTGGTTCCAAAAGCCCAATTTGTTTGCCTCCATATCAATACTGACTCAGTATCCATATAGACATCTGTTAAATACCAGAAAATTAAATATACTATTTGGCTGGGTCTTAGGGCCTAGGAAAAAGTTCCTCCTGCCTCCAGGAAGAAGGTTCTTTAAAGAGCTATGCTCAGGGTGGTCTTTCTGTGGTACCTAAAAAGCCAGGGCAGGGGCAGCTGAGGCCGGAAAGGATCTGCCTCCTCTGTTTGTGTTGACTGTAGGGCTTCCAGTACTTAAGTCTTGCATCTCAGTGATCATTAAAACATTCATTTTGAAGGAGGGCGATGGGAGGAGGGAGCAGTGGTGATAAGAAGAAAACCTCAGTTGGGGGGAAATGGGGGAGGGATAGTGGGGGTTGGGGAGTTGGGGAGAGATAGCATGGGGAGAAACGCCAGATATAGGTGAAGGGGAGGAAGGCAGCAAATCACACTGCCATGTGTGTACCTATGCAACAATCTTGCATGTTCTTCACATGTACCCCAAAACCTAAAATGCAATAAAAAAAAAAAAAGAAGAAAACGAAAGGCCTTTTATTTTAAGATTAATGTTTACAATAGACTTAGTACTAGAAGTTCAGGCTGGGCAACATAAGGAGATCCCACCTCTACAAAAAATGTAAAAAAAAAAAAAAAAAAAAAATTAGCTAGGTGTGGTGTTTGTTACATGCCTGTAGTCTCAGCTACTTGGGAGGCTGAGTCAGGAGGATCACTGGAGCCCCCACAGTCAAGGCTGCAGGTCAAGGCTTCAGTGAGCCCTGATTGTACCACTGCACTCTAGCTTGGGTGACAGAGCAAGACCCTGTTTCCAGAAAAAAACGAAAAGGAAAAAACATACACATTAAAAAAAAACAAAACAGGAAGTTGAAGAAGAACATACACATTAAAAAAAAACAAAACAGGAAGTTGAAGAAGAACATACACATTAAAAAAAAAAAAAAAAAGAAGTTGAAGAAGAACATACACATTAAAAAAAAAACAAAACAGGAAGTTGAAGAAGATAATGAAAATGATTTGAAATACAGGAACATAGAAAAATAAAATAGGGTGCAACATGGAAGATAACCTTGTTTTTCCTTCTCTTCATTCTTAGTTTTGTTAAGTTTGAGGTTGATAAGGTTAAATCAAAACAAGTATGAAACCTAGAGAAAGTAAAAATGAGAACTCATGATGCCAGGCAGGGAGAATACATGGATTAAAATAAACATTCAATTTCTGGAGCAACTCACTCTTACAAGGAGAAGGTTTTGTAAGCAGACAATGCTGCGCGTGGGAGACCTGCTCTCTCAAAGGTAGTTGCCAAAGGGTTCAAGACAGCAGAAGGAAACATGTATCAAATCTCAGGCCAGTCTCATTCCTCCAGAAGAGAAGCTGCTTTTTTGGACAAAACCCCCAGTGTCCTGTTGTGTGTGGTCTCTTCTGCGTATTTTAGATGTTTTCCTTATTTCCAGTGGAAGAAGCCAAGATCAGCAAGTGCTTACAGAGTAGCTGCTTAGTTTCCTTACTCGGTGTACTACAATGCAAAGAGAGCAGTCCTTATCTGGTCACCTGCCAGGATACCAAAAGACCGAGAGAGATAGGCAACACAAGAAATGGCTAAATCTTCTTTCTCCGTTGTGCCGTAGAATGATTATTTTCAATATGAAATTGTTACAGTATATTCTTCACATTGTTTTGTGTTTGACAGCAGTGGACTTTGAGTACCAAATTTTTTTTTAACAGCTACTATGAGGGACATATTGTGCTGCGTGTTGTGGTCACGTGGATGAAAGGAGTCGGCCATGTTAACTATTAAACACAAAAGCAGGTGATAGTTACCTGAGAGATCCATGCAGGGGAGAGTCCAGGGGAAGGTGACTGATCAATGCTTTGTGGAGGGAGGCAGAAAATGCTTTCTGGAGGAGATGATGGGTGGATTAAGGAAGACAAGACTTGAGCAGGAGTCGTAGCTACTGGCCAGGAAGGAAGGGTATTCAGGGTAGAGGGAGCAGTGTGAGCAAAGGACCAAGATGTGATACTGCTGGCCTGCCAAGCTACTCAGTGTGACAGAATAGGGCAAAGGAGACAAGAAAGGAGAGGACCAAATCACAGGGTGAGTGATTCTGAAAAGCAACAGGCTCTTCAGGAATAAACAATCACCATCATAAATTCAGACTTTCATGTTATTTCCTGTCCTTTTAGGGCAGCTTGAGCCTTTTGTTTAACTTGACATAACATGAATCCAAACTTGGGTTGTTTTCATTTCCCCAGGCACAGTAGCATCAATTTCTTGAGTACCTAACTGGAGATAGAATTTGACAGTGTCAGCATTTTTTGAGCACCCACAGAGTGGGTAGAGTGTAGTAGAAAAAGAAGAACATGGTCCTTGACCCCCAGGAACGTGCCTTCTAAGAGAAGACAGCCTGAAGTGAGAAGCTGTCGGAAGTCAGTGTTTTAAACTATGGAAGAACAATCTGATAGAGTGCTTATGGTACTGAAGAAGACTTCTTAGTGGAGAAGTTAGTTTTGAAATGAATTTAGAAGAATGTGGGGAAAGATGCATCCATATATATTTTAAGACCAAAAACATTTGCTCTATCTTCAAGTTTACTGTGGAATGTTTATTTCCAAAAAAACCAAAAGCTAATAGGATGTTATTTAAAACATGCAAGTCGCATTTCCTTCATCATTACCAACACTCACGTAAACGCATGGAACAAACATTTAAAATCTTGCCAACAGCTTTTTTTTTTATTGTTGAGATGAAGTCTGGCTCTTGTGGCTCAGGCTGGAGTGCCATGGCTCGATCTCGGTTCACTGCAACCTCCACCTCCTGGATTTCAAGCGATTCTCCTGCCTCAGCCTCCTGAGTAGCTGGGATTACAGGCATGCACCACCATACCCGTCCAATTTTTGTATATTTTGTAGAGACGGGGCTTCTCCACATTGGTCAGGCTGGTCTTGAAATGTCGACCTCAGGTGATCCGCCTGCCTTGACATCCCAAAGTGTTGGGATTACAGGCGTGAGCCACTGCACCTGGCCTGCCAAGAGCCTTTCTATTTTTTGTATACCACCTGCTGCCAGACCACAGTCCATGGCTAGTTAAAGTGATACGATCTTCATGTTGTAATTCTCTTAATCCTAGATGCATGTGGGCCACCACCAACATTTCAAGCTATGGAGCTCACTAGCAGACCAAAACCCTATTATAGGGTTGGGGAACGAGTAAACTATGACTGTAAAAAAGGATACCACCACTTCGCTCCTTTTCTCACCCATACTATTTGTGATCGGAATCACACATGGCTACCGATCTCAGATGAGCCCTGTGTTAGTAAGTAAACAAGCATTTTTTTTTTTTTTCCTTATTGGCTGTAGAGATTTCTTTTTTAATTTTATTTTATCTTATTTATTTATTTTTCCTGCTAGCTCTAGAGATTTTTGTTTTGTTTTGTTTTTTGTTTTTGTTTTCATTTTTCTCTAGAGATTTTCACACATTTTAGGGTACATATTTCAATATGGTGATTTTTTTTTTTTTTCTTGTGAAATGAGGTTTAAGATAGCAATGCTTTTTTGGAGGCTTTGAGAAACTGAAATCTCCAAGAAATCTTTTTCTTGGCAATAGATTGCCTAGGTGAGCATGAATCTTAAGTTTATCCTTATAATAGGTAAATAAAGAAAATAATATTCCCATGCATTCAAAAGAGCAATGCAGAATTTTAATTTTGATTCAGATCTTTAATAACTGGATTGAAAAAAATTTCAATTTTTTTTTTTTTTTAGAAAAAGTGTGTCACTATATACCTAATCCTTTACATGGCCAAGCAATCCTTGCAAATGGGACTTATTCATTTGGAAATCAGCTGCACTTCATTTGTAATGACGGGTAAGTTGCTCCTTAGAGGAAATTAGGGAAATGTTAGTAATTTTATTTTTGTTTTGCCTTTCTTCTTAAGCATTCATGTATATTTAATTTTGCTTTCTATGTGACAAGTTATACTTCTAACCAAACAACTCATGGATGCTTTATGGGGATAGGCAAGATGTATAGTAAATAAAAAGAAATTGATATTGAAGGAAAGCAAAACTACTTGCTGTATCTGACAATAAGCCTGTTGTAAGCACTAAAAATGTAGTAATCATGAGAATTTATTCTTCACAACTGAGTGTCCCCAGTTGAAATCTGCCAACTCTTAGACTTGAAGTAGAGCTCACAGAAATGAGAGCTATTTCTCTCATTTCTGTCAGAAGTAGAATTGCCAACTAAAGATACTCTTGTATCCAGGCGACTCTGTAAGGTGTTACCCAACCAAAACTAAACCGATTAGCCTTTAACTATCATGTTGATCAAAATCTCCCAGTTGAAAAACCTTATTTTTGAGACTGCTACAATATGAAGCATCTCAAGAACAGGCAGTGAGCACTCAGTAATAGTCTGTTCTGTAGGGCTTTTGAAGTCGTATGTATTGGGAATACTGGATATTTAAGAGAAATGTGCATTTAGAGAGTAAATGTAATTTTCTGTCCATTTTCTGTTGCAATCACAATACTTGAGTTTAAGTAATTTCTAAAGAAAAATTTTTTGGCTTATATTTCTGGAGGCTGGGAAGTTCAAGGACATGGCAGTAGTGTTTGGCAAGGGCTTTCACGCTGCATCATAACATGCTGGAAAGTGAAAGGGAAATTTAAATTTAGCATGTGTAAAAAAGTCAAAGCACAAGGGAGGTGATTCTTACTTTCTAACAACCTGCTGTTATGGTAATGAATCCAAGCCTACAAAAATGAGAATTCACTCCCACAAGAATTAATGAAGACTCTCTAGAAAGGCATTATCCCTCTTAATGACCTAATCATTTCCAAAAGGCCCCACAACCTCTTAATGTTGTTACACTGGCAATTAAATTTCAATATGAGTTTTGATAGAGACAAACCAGATTTAAGCAATAGCAGTAATACACTATAATACAGAAAAAATAATGGCCAGGTGTAGTGGCTCACACCTGAATCCCAGCACTCTGGGAGATCAAGGCAGGCAGATCACAAGGTCAGGAGTTTGAGACCAGCCTGACCAACATGGTGAGACCTTGTCTTTACTAAAAATACAAAAATTAGCTGGGTGTGGTGGCATGTGCCTGTAATCCCTGCTACTCAGAAGGCTGAGGCAGGAGAATCACTTGAACCCGAGAGATGGAAGTTGTAGTGAGCTGAGATTATGCCACTGTATTCCAGCCTGAGTGACAGAGCGAGACTCCATCTCAAAAAAAAAGAAGATAAAATAAGTGAATATTGGAGGAAAAATCACCTGTGACTAAGGCCGTTTCTCTGACAGTTTTAAAAATTTGGTTAAGTAGAAATATTGGAATATTCAGTTAATAGTTACATAGAGCGGCCGGGCATACTGGCTCACGCCTGTAATCCCAGCACTTTGGGAGGCCGAGGTGGGTGGATCCTGGCCAACTTGGTGAAACCTCGTCTGTACTAAAAATATAAAAATTAGCCAAGCGTTTGGCACGTGCCTGTAGTCCCAGCTACTCAGGAGGCTGAGGTGGAAGAATCACTTGAACCTGGGAGGCGGAGGTTGCAGTGAGCTGAGACTGGCCACTGTGCTCTAGCATGGCAACAGAGCAAGACCCTTCCTCAAAAAAAA